TTCAAATTATCAAAAAAAATTTAAGCTTATACATTACTAGCCCCAGTACTAAGCTGACTACTCAACTAGGAAGTGAATGGTAATAATGTAGGTTACTAAGCAGGCTATAATTATAATATCTGAAAATTCTCTTAATTTTACAAATTATAATAACGTTTACCATTTGAAGAAACAAATTCGACGAACTTCTAATAGAATTCTTAACGACACAGATTATACTATGGATAAATGAGTTTAGATTGAACTTTGAAGGATCTAAATCTTACATGAAATTTCCAACTAAATAGTGCTTTAAATGACAATGTACTAAATAGGTACATTTGAAAAAGGAACTTGCAAAACCGATTACATTATTCACAAATGTCGTTAACTACCGGGACGGTACATTAGTGGATTGGTCCCTGGTTGTGTTTTGCTTACTTAATATTCAGAGTGAGCAGGCTTCCTTTAAGTTAAGTGATGAAGTGGTCGAGAGTATTTACATATGCATGTTACAACGTTTGCAGGTAGGCAAATTACGGATGTCCACATCTACGGATGTTTCTTTTTAATTACGACTTTAGAGGCTAAATTTTCAAACCGTGTATTTCGATTGGGGCAACTGAAGACCAGTCGTTGAACGTTAGAGAAGACCTGAGAATAGCAATGAACGTCTATAGATTAATGACGATTAATTATATTGATTTTGAATGGAATTCATCTTAAGATTTATATTGTAAAACTTTTATTTTGTAATTTAATTATATGTTAATGAGTTATCAGTACCTATGTAATCAGCAGTTGATTGTAATATCTCGATTGTACATAAAGTAAACATGAGACAGAGATCTAGTAACATAATTCATTAATAATGTTTTTTTCCATTAATATTCTGTTTTCTCGCTCAATTTGGGACATAAATTTTATCCGCACGTATAAAATACGTGGGTGAAATATAAAAAAAAATTATACACACTTTCGAATTTTCAGAACAATGTATGTATGGAACGTATCTTTTAGACCTTTTTGATTTGAAATCTCTGTTCTATTATATGTTTTATTAACCTTTACTCATGTTATATGAAGACAAGTAATTCTTAGAAGTAAATTAAATCAGACAGAAAAGCTATCGAAATAAAATTTGTCTAAAATATGAACTGAAAAAAAAAGCTTGGTACCTTTTCGATTCTGCCCACACTGAAATTTAATTAGGGACGTGAGTTTTTTAAGTAAACCATTTATTACATCTACATCTACATCTTTTACTGGTGGTAGGATCACTTGTGAGTCTGCGCGGGTAGGTACCACTACCCTGCCTAATTCTGCCGTGAAGCAGTAATGCGTTTCGGTTTAAAGGGTGGGGCAGCCGTTGTAAATAAACGGAGACTTTAGAACTGACATCTCAAGGTGGGTGCCGCATTTACGTCGTAGATGTCTATGGGCTCCAGTAACCACTTAACACTAGGTGGGCTGTAAGCTCGTCCACCCATCTAAGCAATAAAAAAATAATACAAAAAATAATTTTCTTCGTTCAGCTTCATGTAATAAATTGCAGGTAGCAATTAAGCTAACAGGATACACTAAACGCTTCGTTATTATTATTGTTCGTCTTGAGAGACGCGAACTGAATTGTGTCGTATCTGAACTTTGCCCCACCGCGAGGCTTCGAAGTTAAGACAGTCAAATTCTAATTAGCACAATAAATATGAGACTATTAACAATACGTATGATCGAGAGCTATTTCACGTATACATCTCTGTAAATTGAACCAATTAATTACTTCGAGAATGTGTGCTTCCATTCCGCTGAATTACAGAACTTCCTGAAGCCTACATTGGTTGCTTTTGTTAGCTATGTTCCTAATGATTTGAAGAGGGGATATCCAAAATTGAATACAGTTACAACAGTAGGTTAAATTATTATTTGTTTACTAATAGAATGATGAAAACCGTGAACTGTGTTTGGGTGAGTAATGCAACTTTGACATTAAAAATTTTTAAAGTCAGCATAGTTGTTACGTTGATGTTGCTTTACACTTAACTAATTTTCCATGTAGAGATGTTGCGTTCGAGATTTATATTTGGAACAGAGTATAGTAAAATATGCGTTATTGAAGAATATATTGAAAAAAATTTATCTATGATTCAAATTAAAGTATACAATGCGTTTTATTTTATTTGGAGAATTTATATTTTTGTTATTAAATGTTTTTGTTACTATAGATGATTATTGTGTAATGGCAAGGTTAGTAGTATATACACCATTTGAATATGCGTAACAATAAATACATATATATATATATATGACGGAGGAGAAACGCTGAAGGAATGTTTTTAAAAAGTGTGACGTCAGCATTGCTGACGTCACGGTCATTAAGTTCTCGATGATGACTCATGTTTGGGCTTCCAAAACAAAACTTCACGAGAACTGCGTATATTGCACGAGAAGCATAACAACGTTACAGAGAGATCCGTACTGTACTACGGCTCGGACACGAATGAATCAACGCTAGACAGCACGGCCGTATTTATAGGACTTCGTACACGTCAGCGTGTTTACNACGCTAGACAGCACGGCCGTATTTATAGGACTTCGTACACGTCAGCGTGTTTACAAGTATTAAACACGTGAGCGTGTTTACAAGATTTTAAAGTATTGAAATTACAATAAAAGGGACTGTTTAACATCAATTTCTTATCACAGAGTAATTAGTTGATGATCAGTAGGTAAATAGTCATATTTGCGCCGACATATATATATACACGCTAGGTGCTATCTTATATTTACAAAAATAACATTGTTCCTCCAAAATGTGCGGAGCATATTTTGCCTGTTCGCGAAAATGTTCTCCGAAGGTCTTTACGTAATTGTGGGAAATATTAAGCGAATAAGTTTGTGAAAAGTGTTGCCAGAAATTTCGGCTGTGTCGGCTCCCGGGGGAACATGTGACGACGAGTGACGTAGGTAAGTCTCTTGAAACTTTGTCAAGACTCGTTAATACTCAGAAGAACTTGTAATTATTTTAGCCGCGTACTCACTTATTTTTCCCATTAATAATGGTCAATAGTTCTTGACTTGGTTAATAAATCGTTTATTTGAAAGCGAAATTGCTGAACAAGGACAAAGTCTGGACAAAACTACGGTTTGTTTTTCAAGCTGTACAACATGGGCGTGCCAGATAGTCTTGTGCTCATCATACGAGACCTCTTGTCGAGCCGTTTGGTATTGAGTGGAGGGAACCCACTCTCGTTCCCATCAATTAACGGCCGTATCCCCACAAGGCTACGCTCTCTCCACCTTATCATTTAGTTTGTATGTCATCGGAGACCCAGATAGCTAGCTCTTTTCGCCGATGACACGGCTATCTACTACTCGTATAGCAAGCGGTCGTTAATTCATCAGCATCCACCATAGCATAGTGGCACCGAAGGTGGTGGCTTCGACATCAACTCTACGAAAAGTACAGCCCCGAGTTTCAAAAGGGGTACCTTCCAATACAACTTCGGGTATCCCACTCCGTATAGGCGTGGTAGCACCAACGCCATTTGCCCCATCACCCTCTTCAGCCAGCCCATATCGTAGGCCTCGAAGTCCAAGTACATAGACGTCATAGGTACGTCGATAGAGGGATGACAGTCCACCCCCATATAGAGACGGTACGCGACAGAGCCGCTTTCCTACTCGGACAGCTCTATCAGATGACTTGCAAGCGAAGTAAATTGTCCCTTCGTAACAAGGTGACACTCTACAAAACTTGCATAATTCCGTCATGACCTTCGCCACCAACGCTCTCACGGCCCGTATGCACATAAATTATCTCCAGGCTATCCAATTCTGTTTCCGTAGGATAGCCGTTGGAGCACCGAGGTACGTGAGAAATGTCAACCTTTACGACGATCTAAATTTAAAGCCTATACGAAGTATTTTGAGGTAGCGACAGAATGCTACTTCGATAAAGCGGCGCAACACGAAAACCCTCCATTTAGCCGCCGGAAACTACATATTCGATCCAGATGACCAAACAGTCATCATTTCGGATCATCCCGATCCAGTATTGGCGATTTGAGCATTCCAAGTAACGGCCACTATTTTCGTCCAATGCGATGAAGGGTGATAAATAGCCCACAGATACAGTCTACCGAGATAATGACCGGATCTTCTCAGTAAGTTCGATCAGGAAGGAGATTCAGCACTACCCTTACTAGAACCAGTGTTAGAAAAGTCGCTAGCATAGCATGAACTCACTAAAAATACAAGTATTTGAAACATAGACTATCCTGTGCACTATCCTATATTAATTGCAAACAAGTTGAATTATTTACGTTTTTCAAGTGTAAAATATTTGAATGAGAGCTTTTGCTTAATTCTTTTGTTTACGACAGTTTCTGTGTAATATTTGTGAACGTGTTTGCTGTAGTTTGCGGCTCAGACGCTTGCTGCGAATGGGATTGCGGTTTTGCCCCGAGCATTTCGTTAAATTGAAAACGGACCGAGGACTACAACAAGTGAACTTAAATTAAGCAGAAGGTATAATACGTTGTATTAACAATGCTATAACGATTTTTTTGTACCGGGTTTTTATTAAGAGAACTGTTTATGTGATTTTATGCAAATTCATGACCTTCTTAACATAATGGCTATGAGTAGCATACCTGTTTGACATAATTATTTATTTTTAAACAGCCTTTATAATCATCATATCGACGCTTGAAAGGCAAACGTGACTAAGCGACAATAACTGCTTTATACATAAATGATAGGCAATAACCATATTCGATGCGCAAAAAAAAAAATATTTCTAGGTCTATTAAAATCATTTCAATCCTACAGCTAGATTCGTTAAAATAGAATTTTTGTCAGGTATTTGAACTTTAAATTAGACTACTGTAAAGTTCACGCATTGTCGCTTAGTCACGTTTGCCTTTCAAGCGTCGATATATAATAAAAAGCTGTCCCCAGATACAACAACTATATATGTATATATCAGGTCAGAGCTCGATACATAATAAAATAATACTCACATTGAGCACGATGATGAAGAAGTCGAGTGTGAAGAGAAACGACGTTATTGGATTGAAGTCCATCTGTAAAAGAAGAAAATTTTCATACACATTGAAATAACCCAAACAAAGAAAACAAAATAATAAACGTCCTTATAAAAACAATTTCGTTGATTAAATACGTGAAGATCTTTAAGACATTTTTTTTATTACTTATTACGCTTCGAAGTTTACAAAAATGTGAGCCGCACCTATCTTCTATCTTAAAGATAGAAACCTTTCTTGAAGTGACAAAAACTTTAAAATGTTCAGTCATTCAAACATGCAACAAGAAGTGAATCTCTATGGAATAAACGACATGGAAATGTTTATAGCACAAATAAAATAAGAAGCATTACAAAGAAAAGTTATTTGTACATGTATGTATTGGAAGAAGAACATTTAAGTTGTAAAATACACAAGTCTAACGAAACTAAACTCGCCAAGAAGTTGGAGATGCGTAGTAAGTTTGTACAAGAAATATCTATTTATTCTGTTTACGAAATCTAGAAATTGCGTGTGGAGTATTTTCCATTAATTATATATTATAATAAAATTATTATATATAATTAACGGAGAAATTTGCCCTGAAATATTTCAATAGATTGCGATTTCAAGTAGTAGACAGTGAGTATACTTAAGTTGTCAGTGAACGAATAATTGACACTGAAGACCGTTATAAAATTGATATTTTATGAGAATCGAATTGCAATTTGCACTTTATGAAGAGAAGCCGGAATGAAAGATTTTGGTGTAGTTAATTAAAAATGTCAATGTGTCATGTGGATGTGTTAAAATACGTAAGAGTAACAATCCGCAATATGTAGTAGAAGGCCAGGTTGTTTTTGTTCCCCTTGGAGTCAATTTGTATTATATCACAATAATTATTTAATTATTACTTAATTTCTGTAAAATAATTTGATATCTCACTGAGTACACTCTAGTAATTTTACTTAGGTACTACATATTTTCATTATCTACCTGCGGAAGTAGAGAGTTTAGTTAATAACCTTTTTGTTACTACTGTAATCTAATACTAACTGTAATCTATTTTCAAGTTAATAATCTATAATTATCTTTACAAGATTTTAATAATTAGGCTACTAGTTTTAAACCTTCTGTTCATATTTTGTGTTATTCGTCGTAGTCTCAAGTGGTTGGTTTAAATCTTGATTTAGCAGTATTTGTCTACCTTAAAAGATAACTTTACTATGTTGACGTAATATTAATATTCTAATGTAAAACAAGTATTTAAGGCAGTACGTCTGTAGTCAATAAAGAAGGAAGGTTAAAGAAATAGAAGGTAAAAGTGAAGAAAAGCAAGTCTTGACGACCAGATAGATAATATATTATATCGTAAATATAGTGTCTTTAATTCTACAGATGGTAGAGGTAAGAAGTACAATCCATATATAAAGTTGTCTGTCGAAAAATGACCAATTAAGATGGCGCCACTGTAGCAAGAGGTGTAAAAAAATTGTTTTATCTCATTTTTAAACTCAGCAAGCACCCTCGATTCCCTTTACAACTTTCAACAAATTCATATTATAATACTGATTGCTACGCTGGCGCTATGTTGATGGGTTCTTAGTTGTAACTTGCTGTAAGTAGTTACAGCCGGAAACTTTTTCAACTTGTTCCCATTTAAGATGGACTTCTTACTCCTACCTTCTATATTTAATAGATACAGACACCGTTGTCCATAACTAACTGACACTAATCGTTTATTGTAAGTAAAAAAAGCCATAGGCATTCTGATGTTGATGAAGCTACACTGGTGCTTAAATATGTGTGTGTATAAGCTTAAAAAAAATTGTAATTTTTAACGTGTTGTGAATCAATCGTTCAATGTGCGTTCAACGAACAGACAGTGAATTACGTACAGATTAATTACAGACTTTTGGGTCTTTATGTCAGCATTTTAATCTTTTAAACAGTGAATAATATTTTGTGGAGAAATTTTTTTTTTACTAATTCAGGTTTCGATTTTTACTTTCGATCACAGTAGATGATAATATATTCAACGGATGCTAAGAAACTCCTCACTTTATTGTCTAAGATAATTCAGAATATAACTAGAGGGATTCGTTAAATTCATTGTAAATAAGAGAGTGAAATTATTGTTTGTTATGTTGTATTGGTTTGTTAACATTGTCCATTGTTGTCCACGAGTGTCCATAGATATAATGTAGTTTTTGGCGTATATGACTTTGAAGGTGATTGTTGCGATACGTTATCAAGCTTCAAGCTTATTACTTACCGCATCCTCAGTCGTATTGAATTCGGCCATCGAAAGCTAATGAAAAAACGAAACAAAATATTATAAGCTACGAAAATGGAAATGAATTTTAAAATGATTGAATTCGACGATTTCACTTTATTTTATTTCATTTTTTAATATTCTGAATTAAACAATACAAAGGGAACACAGTAGCTGTTATAGGGAGTGGCCTGACTATGCCCTTGGCATTGCTGAAGATCGCGGGCGAGGGTTACACCCTTCAAAAAATTGGACAAGCTTAGACTGTACATAATTTTTACGAGAGAAGTAAAACACATGGCATTTTATGATCATCACTGATAACTATATAGCCACGGAAAATACAACTGATAAAGTTCAGTATTCAAATCAAATTTCAATTGTCTCTTTCCAAGCGCAGCGCATACATTACTTCTCTGTATTATAAAACACTAGGATTCTGATGGTCACTACACGCTAATCGTTTTAAGATGACAGCATTCCTTGTAAATTGCAATGTGGTATTTAAAAAATGACATACGCGAGTGACGGCTGTTACTTACCGTCATCTCGTTCATTTCGTCTTCTGGTATTGCAAGCTAATGAAAAAAATAAAACAAAACATTATATTAGCGATGAAAGAAAAACAAAACGATCTAAAAAATATAGATTTCTGCATAACACTATTTTGTGGCTTTATTATAAAATTATTTACCAAATTAATTCTAAAAGCTCAACAATGTACGCTTGCATTTCATAAACTGGCTTTCTAATCTGTTGAAATATAAAAAAATACAATTACAAATCGATCAATAATAATACGAAACTATAAAAAAAAAATGTCACGTCCTTAAGTCGAGTAGAAGCGGATATAAAACCACTTTTCTAAGTCTTCGTTGTAAAACGTGAAGCGCATGCAGTAGATGCTTGTAAAGAGTTTAGTTTTTTTGTCGTCGAGAAAACTCATAGAGCAGTTCATATCATTAGCAGCGCGCAATAAAATTGTTGGAAACTTCGTGAAATATCCGTCTATCAAACATCGTAAATGGTTGTTAGAAAGTTTTCTAGTTGATTTTAAACATGTGCTATATCAATATATTTTTAAAAGACTGTTACATTATAACAGATAAAGAAATAAACAATGAGAAATATTAAAAAAAATTACTAACAAACATATATAAGAATGCTATGCCGTCCTTTTTCACAAACGACAAAACAACACGACAAAATCTTTCAACGTAATTATTAGTAACTTAAGGATATTTAAACATCAAGGTTTATGATAATAAATTAGAGATTGTATTTAAATCTTTATAATTTATATTTCTATAATCAAGTTTTAAAGCGGGAGGGGTTTCCGAATGTATTTAGCACCAAATCAAAATAACGGTTGGCAGCGGCTTGGCTCGGCCCATTGCTGAAGACATGGAAGCTCATGGGCATTGCTGAAGTTCATGGGCGACGGTAACCACTCACCATCAGGTGGGCCGTGTGCTGCCAGTATGCATACAAGGGCAATAAAAAATAAAAATAAATTAATGATCCGTTAAACAGCGGGCTGATGCTATGGAGTAAGTGTCACGTTGACACTTTGACGGGCTCTACAAGTATGGATCAATCAGGTGGGCCGTATGCTGCCAGTCTGCATACAAGGGCATTAAAAAATAAAAATAAATTAACGATCCATTGAACAACGGGCTGATGCTATGGAGTAATTGTCACGTTGACACTTTTACGGGCTCTATAAGTATGGATCACCTCGGTAGGGTGGTTTTAGGAAGCGGGGGACGGGGTTGGGTGGCTCACGTGCCTTGACTCGATTTTTCAAAATGAACGATTAGCCGAGAAGTCTCTTCATTCGTGTCGTATAATTTCAAACGCTGTGAAATTTTGTCGGACGCATTCGCGGCCGGTGTTTTTTATTGCTTCGATGGGTGAACGAGCTCACGGTTCGCCTGGCACGAAGCGGTTACCAGAGCTCATAGACATCAACAAACTAAATGCCGTCTCACTCACTCTTACTGATAGGTACAACCGTCGCGTTCTAAAGCGGTCTAGCCCTTAATAATCATTTAACAATGTCGTGACTTAGCGCTCGTAACGCTCATAATCATTCAAGTGACATTAGATTTCTAAAACAAAAAACAGATCGATCGAGGTTTGAATAATAGCTTTATACAGTGAATTGACAAGCACATCGATAAAAGTCAACGGCACGATCCATTACTCAAAATTCACTCGAGTTTGTTTTTATTACACACCCTTCTTCGGTGGACTGTTGTGCCGCAATAAAACTGATTAAACTATATTATTACGCGTCAACATGTTTATTAGTAATAAAAATAATCTTTTGTACCCCCCTCCCCCCTCCCTATCCACATAGTTTGGGTTACAGCACAATAAAGGCGGTTTGGCCGAAACGGTTTCATTCTGTTCAATCGTAAAACGAACGTTCGCGCAGTCGTCTTTGTGATTTGAAACGCGGAAAGCGTGTTACGGCTCGTTAATCAATCGTTGATGATCAAATATCCGTTGTTGTGAAATTAACACCGCACTAGAGCCCTCGATCTTTTTTTTTTTTTTTTATTGCTTAGATGAGTGGACGAGCCCACAGCCCACCTGGTGTTAAGTGGTTACTGGAGCCCATAGACATCTACAACGTAAATGCGCCACTCACCTTGAGATATAAGTTCTAAGGTCTCAATTATAGTTACAACGGCTGCCCCACCCTTCAAATCGAAACGCATTACTGCTTCACGGCAGAAATAGGTAGGGTGGTGGTACCTACCCGTGCGGACTCACAAGAGGTCCTACCACCAGTAAAATCTATCTAGAGTTTAATCATTTTTATTGGAGTTGTTCACAATATTTATTCACTTGAACTTTTCATAGCATAGCATAGTTCAATCGATTTTATTATGTTGTATCACAATTATTGACATTCAGTTCAACGTTTTCTAAATAATCAGTCAATTCTATTAAACTTTATTCATATCGAATCAATCTGCAATCGCTTGAAGAAAAATAAAATGTAATCAAAAATAAAGTGCTACTGCATGCCGCCCTAAGCCGTCATAAGTCGTAAAGCTCAATTGCTGATTGAAACAAACAAACCGAGAATACGTAATACGGAAAGAGTATGTTATTCCAATATAAATCATAATGTTTCGTGTAAAAAACATTCTGAGTATTTTAAACTTGTTTTTTTATGTCGTTTTTGAAGTCGTCGTGGCCTAAAGGATAAGACGTCCGGTGCATTCGTATCTAGCGATGCAACGGTGTTCGAATCTCACAGGCGGGTACCAGTTTTTCTAATGAAATAAGTACCTACTTAACAGATATTCACGATTGACTTTCACGGTTAAGGAATAATATCGTGGAATAAAAATCTAATCCGCAAAATTATAAATTGCGTAATTACTGGTGGTAGGACCTCTTGGGAGTCCGCACGGGTAGGTTCCACCACCCCGCCTATTTCTGCCGTGAAGCAGTAATGCGTTTCGGTTTGAAGGGTGGGGAAGCCGTTGTAACTATATTGAGACCTTAGAACTCATATTATTATCTCAAGGTGGGTGGCGCATTTACGTTGTAAATTTCTATGGGCTTTAACTACCAGGTGGGCTGCAAGCTCGTTCACCCATCGAAGCAATAAAAAAAATATAATTATAAATCATATTCATTTTGAACATACTATACTGTAAACTTCATTTTGTCTTTTTAGAAAATTCAAAGGTATCTTAAATTGGTTGTAATAATTTAAACATAGGACATGTAGACGAACTGAATTTCATTGCGAAAATATATCGCGATATATAACTTGTATAAATAATTGATGGTTTTTTTAGCGTTACAAATCTCTGGGATATCATTGGAATGCTGTTCTTTTTCATTTACAGACCTGCATCTGTTGAAAGTATACGACCTATATATGGTACTAGGTGATGGGATCCATTTACATACGTATGATATAGATGTATGGGACCCATAGATAAGGTAAGTAGATGGTGAAGTCATATATAATAAAAAAATATGGTAATTAAGTATATTTAATCGCGATTAGACTTTGCTATTTGATTGGTCTTGCTACTAAATTATACATTTATTGGTGTTAGGCAATAAGACTTGGAGTACATATCTCAATGTATTATGTTGTGATGATTATGGAATCTGGTAACCATTTAACATCGAGAGTGTCGTGAGCTAGGCCATGAAAAAAGTAAATATACATAAAAGTGTCTTGTTAAAATTTTAGGATGGAATAACGACAAAAACATATTTATATCCTCATAATCTAAGAACAAAAGAAAACATTCTGGGCCCGTAAATTATCAATCAGTATCCCTTTATTATGTGAATGAAAGTACCGACCGTATAGACCGAACAATATAATTTTATGAAGCTCGCATTGTTCCATATTTATTTTGAATCATCTATCTATCTATATGTATATAAATGAATTGCTGTTCGTTAGTCTCGCTAAAACTCGAGAACGACTGGACCGATTTCACTAATTTTGGTGTTGAATTATTTGTGAAAGTCCAGAGAAATGCTCGGAATTAAATAAAAATAACAATTGTTTTCCCTTTGTTCATTTTGTTTGTTTTATAATAAGTTTATTTTACACAAAAGCTTAGGTCTTTTATTTCGATTGAGGCACTACGAAGTCTGCTGGGCCAACTAGTTTATTCATAAATTATTTTTCGTAAAGAACCCGCATAGTGTATTTAATAAACTCTATGGACTAGATACTACTAACCCATATTTCAATAGTGAATTCATCGAAGCGCTGGTAAACGAACCAACCACACGCAAATTCCAATGAATAGTTTTATTTAAAAAATACCGTATTTAGTGTTTCTCGGATGTATACAAAAACAATCAAATTACATTTTGCATTTATTTTGAAAGTAATATATTATGTAAGTAATTTGTATCAATTAATTTGTATTCATTAAGCCCAATATTTCAGAAAAGCGTCAATGTGGTACCTTATAAAGGCAACAGAAAGCAGAAACCGCAACAGTAGATGACCACAAATAAAATATTTATAATACATTTTCAAATAGTCATTGATAAACTGTCAATTATGAACAGTAAGGCAAATAATAAACGAAGCAACACCTATTATAAATCAAAGTTAATATTGTTTTTGTCGGTCTACGGAAATAGATCCAAATCAAAGCTATAAATAATAAATGCCTTCCGTCTATGTCAGATGATATAAGAAATATCCAAGATGAGTTTTCCACAATTGTGAGAATAAGTTGATAAGCCTTGTTATTTTTTGCTTTTGATGAGAGAACTCTTTGAACACGGTTTTTTCATGAAATACCATGAAATTATATAAGAAAATCATTTGTTAATCTGCATTTCACATTCATTCAGTATCGTTGTAGTGATTAATAATAATTGGTTTAATAACCTTTTGGCATCATTCCAAACTCTTACTCCAGCACTAAAATATTCGTTTAATTAATCAACAATATTTCGCGAAACAATTTATATCCAGCTATCAAAATTTCAAACCTGCACAGTTTGCTCTGGTAATTTAACGAAATTCAAAACTCGTGTTCATTTAATACACAGTTTATTATCATAGTACAAACTCTCTTTCTATATTTCTGACTTTAAGGAAAGAAATTTTCAAAATAACTCTTTTATAGGAAATTATGTACTAGATTTCATAGCAGATCCTCTGTTTTAAAAGCCTTGGGTTAGAGAAACCAGACAGAGTTTTAGGTATTCAACCTCAGTTTTTTTACGTAAACGATGGCAAATTAATTGGCTTTAATTTAATTGCATATCTGATGTTCAGTTGTTACTGTAATCCATGGGCGTCACAAAGTGCATACCGACACCTGCCTTGATATAAGGGTTAAAATCTTAATTGCCTTTTATAGCTACTGTTCCACCCTTCAATACTTCGGAGCAGAAATAGGCAGGGTGGTGGTACCTACTTTCATTAAAAAAAGAGTGGATAGTTATCATGGTATGGGCATATTGTGGTATGCAAGTAGACGGTAAAGTGACGACGGGCGTCCTAAAAAGACTTGGATGGATTTACGAGAATGAGGTGCAGAGATGACGTATGATAGGCATATGAATGGCAATAGGGGACATGTCTCACATAGCGAGATACGAGCAAGAAGAAAGTGTTACATACCGCACGAGCCTTTTAATACACCTTACCACCATTCATGTTTAAATATGCTTTTGCATAATTTTTGACGTAGGTACTCTTTATTTGTCTCATCGGGAAATATTGGATTGCCCTCGATTTTTTTTATATATTTACTTCCACGGTTAAGGAATAACATCGTGTAATAAAAATCAAACCCGCAAAATTTTAATTTGCGTAATTAATGGTGGTAGGAGAACCTCTTGTGAGTCTGCATGGGTAAGTACCACCACCCCGCTTATTTCTGCCGTGACGCAGTAATGCGTTGCGGCTTGAAGGGTAGGGCAGTCGTTGTAACTATACTGGGACCTTAGAACTAACATTTCAAGGTGGGTGGCGCATTTACGTTGCAAATGTCTATGGGCTCCAGTAACCACTTAACACCAGGTGGGCTGAGAGCTCTTCCACTCTCGTCCACCATTTAATCAATAAAAAAAAAAGCATCCATTTTAGGGCGGAACTTTTTTTGCCACGTGGCTTAAATCCGGTTTCCATTGTTTTTAGGACATGTGATTTTTTGTGATTACTTTATAGCTAATTAAATTATTAATCTGGCCAAATGGATGTACTGTATGGATGGAGCTATTTTTTCCCATTATTCGTCCTTAGTAACTTTATCTTATTTTCTTTGCCTCTTCCGTAATTTCTAAATTGATGACAGATGGTGGTAAAGCGTGCTTGCAATTAGCGGAATGGTCATAATTATTACCTTATTGACTAGAATGGTCAATCAAGACTTATGTATCATTCGTTCTTATGTACCAAAGGGTGAGCTAAAATTATAAAGCAAGATATCCTACGCAACTACGTATGCAGAGAAATGTTGTTTTTCCTCATATGAAATAATAATTTCAGTTTTTTTTATTTTTTTTTTTTTTTATTTNTTTTTTTTTTTTTTTTTTTTTTTTTTTTTTTTTTTTTTTTTTTTTTTTTTTTTTTTTTTTTTTTATTGCTTAGATGGGTGGACGTGCTCACAGCCCACCTGGTGTTAAGTGGTTACTGGAGCCCATAGACATCTACAACGTAAATGCGCCACCCACCTTGAGATATAAGTTCTAAGGGTCTCAGTATAGTTACAACGACTGCCCCACCCTTCAAACCGAAACGCATTACTGCTTCACGGCAGAAATAGGCGGGGTGGTGGTACCTACCCGTGCGGACTCACAAGAGGTCCTACCACCAGTAATTACGCAAATTATAATTTTGCGGGTTTGATTTTTAATACACGATGTTATTCCTTCATCGTTTAAGTCAATCGTGAACATTTGTTGAGTACGTATTTCATTAGAAAAATTGGTACCCGCCTCCGGGATTCGAACACCGTTGCATCGCCAGATACGAATGCACCGGACGTCTTATCGCTTAGGCCACGACGACTTAAATTTTATTATTCTCTTTATGCAAAAAAAAAAAAACATTTTTCATGGCAAAAGTCCTGTCGACAGTCTTTTGCGCAAATTTAAGTCATATCTTAACAAAAAAGAATTACTTCCGTCAACATCTGTGATAATACAATGATTTTTTTTTAAGTACCAAAGCCTTTTGAATATTCCAAAACCACGGAATTGAATTGATGAAAACTAATTCGTCATTATGTCATTATTTTATTCGTGTTAAGAAAACTATAAAGTCAAAACATTGATACTTACTGTTTGAAGGTAGAAGAGATACACCACATTGATAACTTCAACGAGTGTTTCCAGGCCCATTGATAGGATCCACGGGAGAAGCATAAACTTGAGGTCCTAAGAACAAAGTAACTTGAATAAATCAGTGATTCTTCGTGCTTTTTTTTATTACTGTTCCAAATATGCTCAATTCAAAAATTATCTTTCATGTTTTCGAATTTAAATCAATCCAACCAGATATAAAATATACGAGTCAATAAAGACATTAATCAAAAGAAAAAATGCGAATTGAAAACCTCTTCTCCTCCTCCTTTGAAGTAGTTTTTATCTGTCAAACATTAATTACTTATGTAAAACTTTTGATTACGTACGTATTAATTTAATTTAATTTAATTTAATTAAATAGACAATTTTCAGGCCGAACGACACTGGCAAGCTAGATCCTAAAATGCTGCATATTTCAGTTGGACGATGAAAGATTTTGATTTTTTAAACTAACCTCAATTTAAAATATATTTTTTGAGATACATCTATTATTAGGTAAACGAATTTACTTTAAAAAAGTCAAATACAATAGATGAAGAGCGGTAACAATTACATGAGAAAAACCAAAAAAATTTTTAGCAATTTTTTCGTGACTCAAAAGATTAAAACAAAAATCTAGGGTGAAGCAAAACTAGTCTTTTTCACGAATGTGTATACATAAAAACGCTTTTATTTTATTCGTGAACGTTCTCAAATATTTATAATACTTGTGCACACTGCTTATTTTGAATCGATTAATAAAATTAAGAACTAATTCGCTAGTGGTAAAGCTATGACACAACACAAGATATTTCACAGATGCCTGAATCCCGCCAACGCCTTTTTCATGACAAGTTCTACCGTAGACAGTCGGTCTGCCGAGAACCTTATAATACACCTGCGCGGTGGAAGATCTTCCCTTTGTCGTTTACCCCGAAAGTCAAAAGGTGTTCTTATATCCGACACCGGTTAAGCTAGTACATATACGTCATTTTTCAACAGACTGTCCCCCTCTGTGTAGAATGAAATTAAAGCGCTTATAACTTTTCGACTTCTGAACAGTTTTTAGTCGAATTTTCGTTAAACGAACGCCTAATTTACAGTTAATTTACAAGGTGTGTGGCGCATTTACGTTGTAGATGTTTATGGGTTCCAGTAACCACTTAACACCAGGTGGGCTGTGAGCTCGTCCACACACATAAACAAAAAAAAAAAAGTTAGCTTTTTATGGAACTAAATGTTCATTAAGACCGCGAATTGATATACATGAGAGTTCTACTAAGGTAACTTATTTTAGAATTGGAAATTGATTTCGGAATAGCTTTATTAATTCTGTTTTAGAGAAAGGACTAGGCCGTTAAACTTTAACGAGGTTGAAAGGAAGCACCCGGATTGAAAGGCGCAATCTCTTTAATTTTAAATGCGGTTTCTAAGAATACCTACTAATCCTTAGTATCACATTCAAATAGGGACGGGTCTTTTAAAGATTTATTAATAGTCTTAAATTTTCCTAGTAAAAAACGTACTTACATGCTGATTGGCGGCTCATATCGGCGACTGATTTTGTTCACATTTTTACAACAAAAACTTAAGTATTAAAATTAACATTTTTTTTAAATAGCCTGTCATATATTGTACTATATTTTGATATATGATAAGTAGTGATTATTATATGCAATCACGTCCTTTAACTTTATTAAATAAAAATAATCTCCTTTAAAGCATACTCCATTAGCGCTAATGCATACATTCATTCCATTGTTGAGAGCACCTTACAAATTTATCCTATTCGATGGCTTTTTGCATCATCGTGACAGTGCACTTTACTTCATGAAGACGCTTTCATTTCTAGCCGCTTTTCATTCTAGAGATGCACCGAGAAATATTTCAAGAAAATCAAAATTGGCTAATAGTTTATTTGGGAACTTAATGTAATTGAAGTCAAAAACTGGCAAAAAGTGAAGTAAATCATCTTGAATGATGAACGATCATTCGCGTATTTCAGTTTCACTGAGAGCATGCTCGTTGCAATTTTATTTATTTCACAAGAAATCATTAAAATTAAATCACTAATGAAATGTCCGCTAAAAAAAATATGTTCTGTTCATTTAAAGAAGAAACATTTAGAATATAATCCACCTCCATTAGAAGCAATGTTTTTTTACAGAATAGCGACAATATCCACACCGATACAGCCTCGCCGGGATCATTAATTTGGGAAAAATGTTGTACGTTAAAATCATATCCGATGATAAAATAAACTTGGGGTGGTTCGCTGTAGTTGAAACCTAATTTTCACCTCATACTCCCATTATTGTTCCGCAATAAATTTGTTAGCGAACTCGAGTAAGCTGCAATGAAGGGTGCTTTGCTAAAATTTACTCCTATTTTGGATTTTCATCTTGGTACATGTTAAGAGCATTTTTTTTGTTCGTAAAAAAATACAACATAAGGTATTAGATTTAAAATTATTATTACATCAACAACAAGATTAACAGTTCAGAATACTACAGCTGGAATGACAAACATAAAAGCTAAAAAAAGTGGTCACCCAGAATATTGCTCAACGACAACCGGACCACCTTGAAAATTTATTGTGGTGGCAAGATAGAAGGGAAAAGACCCCCCGGCCGGTCACCAAGCCGTTGATCAGGTCAAGTAATAGCGCTCACTGGACTCTCTGTTACAACCGCCTTGAGAGAAGCCGAAAACCGAACCCAATGGAAGATGATTGTGCAAAGAGCCACAAAGGCCTTTCAAGGACTCGACCTTCAGCAATGAAGTTTGCGACTAAGAAGACGAAGAAGAAGACAAAAGCATAATTTAATTTGCTTAGAATACTACATTTACGATAGTCACGATGAATTGGGCGAGCGCTAAAAGTAAATGGCAGCCAGTGATTTGGATTTGAGGTCGTAGGCACCTATCGCTAATGGCCGATAAAAGGATTTATGAGCTACGTTTGATGCGAGGTAAAACTATACGTAGGTACGCTATACGACAAAAAGCCGAGTAAAATATGAGCCACACTAATATTTGTATAGCGCACAATCGATAGACATTTTCCGAAGGACGTCGACGAAAAGAATGATTCTTTGTTGATCGTCTGAAGTTGGCAAGGAACTCTGATGGCCGCTGTGACTCGGTAGGGTATCTCCTATTATTTACATTATTATTACTCAGCTTTTTATGTCTGGTGAAGTCACTGGCGGTCGGAATTGTGTAGCAAATAACGACGAATAATGGAAATTTTTAAACCGACACGATTTTGTTATAAAATATGTAATGCGTCCATTTGTTATGATTGATGTATTCCGAGTTTATTCAAATTGCTTATTAAAACCCAATAAATATTCTTTCATTCGTTACGATCGAAGTATTGTCAGAAAATGTGATTTTATGGAAATTCTCGTCTAGAGAAAACATAATTTTGTGTTTATACATTGTGAGATATCGAGTATTTCAATGTGTTGATTTAGTCTTTGATATTGCTTACATATCCCACGCGATGAACAATTATTTTTGATTTGAAACCAGCGATCAAATTTGAGACCAATAGAAAGAAAGCCCTTTGTTCATTTTTTTTTATTTTGTTTAAAATATATATTAGAAATATAGCTCAGGAAGATGGAAGTCATCTAATTCCTTATCATGAGCAGTTATTGAAGTTCATTGATACGATGTCTTGATTCAATCTTTCTTGCAACATTACATTGATGTCTCAGCTGCATTCGAATTTCGGTTATCCAGTTTTTCACGCGCTATTTCTTCCGATAGAAATATGCAGCGCGTTGTATACAAATTTTATCGTTACCAGAGCTATTCATTTATTCTTCGTCTTTAGTTTTATTAATAAAATGTTTACCTTATACACTCCCAATATTAGCATCACGCATGAGATGAGCCCCATCGTGCTGCAGGCCAACAGCGTTATGTTCAGTGACACGGTAACTAGAACAAAAGGGAACGGTAATTTAAATAATTAGATCGGTTATTAAAAATACGTATTTTAAAAAAACAATGAAATGTGTTTATAACAACAATAAGTAATAGTTTAAAAAAACTAACAAAATACGCTTTTATAGAAAATCCAACAAAAAAATAGAAAATATTTATTTTTCATTTTTTTAGTTGAATTTAAATTTTTTCAATTTTTTTTTTAAATATTGAATTGTCATCGTTCATTAATAAGTATACCAAATTTCGAGTTAATCCGACGTTTTGAAGGGGGTCAAAATCATGTTCAAAGATTCCGTTACAAACATACATACATACGTCTGAAGCTAATAATAAAAAAGCGTATTAAAATAGTTGGAAGTTCCGCCTAAATATCTCAAGGAAATTACGCAAGCTGTTTATTTTTCAATTGTACAGTAGCTACAGTAGGGACCAACATCCTATCTAAATCTGTCGCGAAGTATGCTATCTGGTTTGAACTGATAGCCATTATACAATAATATACAATTGAAACATCGACCTCATATCTAAAAACTGGTGACGGATTTCATACCGTGATGTTTTCGTAAGGCTTCGTTAAGTATTCGAAATTGTCATTTACCTTTGTCTAAATTAAAATGTAAACATTAAACATTGTATCAAACATTGGTAATTGTGAGCTTTAAAAGACCAATTACAACAACTAAATTCTGAAGTCTTTGTCGAATGTAAACTACAATAGCTGCTGCAATAATAACACTTAGAGACATTCAAAAGCTCTATTTTAAACAGACATTTTCTCAGATGTATTTATGATGTCCCCATTAAAATTGGTTCGACTAACTCGAGGCCAATAGATATCACAATATACTTGCCGCTGCCCACTTATAGACAATCGAAAGTGTCATTTGTATTATCTGACAGTCTGCACCCCTCCGAAACTGGAACGAATAACTGTTTCGCGGCATTAATACGCAAAATGGCGGTGCCTAACCGCGTGGGCTTACATTACGTCCTAGTTATAATAATTACGCTTAATGTTTACTTTTTTGCTAACTTGATTTTTATAATACGATAGAAAATAGGCACTAAGCAATCCCTCCGTAAATTTCCACCAACCAGAGTGTTGAATTCCCATACCGAGGAAAATCCTGGGAAAAGACAGGCAGTACATAAGAAAAGTTAGGATCAGGTTGCAGATTTTGAGGCCAGCAAAATCGAAATTTGATAGTCACATCTCTTGCGTGTGCAACTCTCATGTTATGTGTTAACACGGCCACGGGCACCTTAAATTCCTTCCGTAAACGATATTTTCTATTGTATTTTATACACCGAGAAAAAAAAAAATTATGCAATCAGTTGTTTTTCTTATTGTCTCTGCAGGCGGATGAATATACGGCCTATATGAAGGTAAGTAGTGGTCACCGCTATAGACAAAAGCGATGCCAAGGCACAGCTGAGATGCTGGTGCTATGCTAATATATATTTAACCTACTAAAACAATGTTTTTTTATCTATCAAAATTTACATTTACCATATTCGTTGGGAAAGCGTGTTCGCTCATTATTTTGAATTAAACGCGAGTAACGAACCTCTTGTCAGCTGAATGTAATTTACATATTATATCGTAGCAGGGTATTAGCTCAGAGAAACTCTCGACAAAATTCAGAAAGAAACGAGGTGGGTCGTTTTGAAAATTCAAATTATCTGATTGTACTTAAAAAGTTATTAAACGTAATTACCATATTGCTTTACGATTAGAATAACAAATATTCTGAATTTAGAATTTTTAAACAATTTATACAATTTTCAGTTCGTGAATACGTTCGCTGATGTATTAATTCATTACCATTTATTATATACCTACACACTGTTAGGGCTACCTTAAAGTTTGTCTTATGGAGGCCCTAGTTAAATGACACATGTATATCACATATAGATAATAGCGTTGCTTTTGACAGTTTAATTGATTCCGAAGGAGGATATAATGAGATTTGAGTAATCATTATTGCGAGAAACTTCCAACAATAAGGTCTTTGCCACGCAACCAAGTCGGAGCGATGTATTGTTTAGGTTCTCTAGCATTAAAACGAACAACCGGTACGAGAGTGAAACATTATATGGGTGAAATGCCGTTTGACGTCACACTTCTTTACCGTGTCTTCAATAAAAAGTAGAATCTTAATACGCTAGCTACGGTTCAGGGTAAATATTTATTCTTTACTTACTCCTCCGCTTTCTGTTTTAGGTTTGAGTATATATATATTTGAGTATATAATATAAGTTAAACAATATATTGAAAATACACAAAGCTCTACCATTTTCTTGTTTTTTCTTAGAATTATTTAGCTATTCGTAATTTTCGCTCACGTTATACTAGTCACTGGTGTATTATTTGATTGACCATGTTTCTTTTTTTAACTGACGATAGACAACTGACACCTACGGAAGTCTATTGGAATTCACTGGATCAATATCTAATCATTAAGAAAACACTAGATTGTAAAAAAATATATTTCTTATTTCAAAACTTTAAACATTAAATTATGTTGTTTTTATGGCAATATCTTAATACTCGTACATATACAGCATATTACAAGTGGTTTTTTCAACGTTTTGAATTATACAATGAAATGCCTGTATCATAAAAGTAATTATCCACACTAATAGTTAAATCTGTGTGTCTTAAGCAAGTCTAGAATTAACTTTGATTTATTCCGTAAGTACGTGGTGCAATAAAATTACAATGTAGAAGGCTTTATCTTGAAAGACGAAGTCAGATTTCAGTTAAACATATCCCAAGGCAACGACTACAAAATGTACACCGCGACGAGTCTATTAAAACAACTAAAGGCGGTATGATATTGGAGTAAAAATAAATTGCAAATTTTATTGAGATTATTGTACTGAGACTTAAAACTAAATACCTTATTAAATGTATTGAAATCGCGAGCGGTGTCTGAGCAGCAAACATGAACAAGTGCTTGAAACGGAAATTAACTATATTTCAATAGAACGACATAGCAGCTCGCATCGGAAACAGTAGGTTTTCCAGGTCACTCCACACGATCCTATTGTGCTCTACTCGTTGAAGCTTGACCACAAATGAAAGTTTTTTCTACCTTACCGCTCTCATCGACTGTGGAACTTTTGCAATATGAATCGAATACAAAAACCGATTTATTTATTATATACAAATCTTACTTGTACGTTTTAATGATGCATACAATTCCATTTAAATTCCCCAATGACCAATGTTAAATACGTTTATTACTTGAGGAAGAAAAAACCTCGAAAAAGTCACGTTTCATTTAGAATTGTAAAATAACAGCCAATTGTTAAAAAAAATGTTATGGTTTTAAATCTCCAAGTTGTTACTACAAAGATGTTTAGTTTGTTATTCACACCTATTCGGATGTTTAGTGATATGCTGACAGATTTATTGAAACCAATTTTCAAACCGTCGAGCTATTTTTAAGGATCTTTCAAAATATTGTATAACAAAGATGTCTTAAAGTTATGAGCACGACTAAGGCAAAATTGTTTAAGTCAAAAAAAAAAGGAATTTATGATACTCTTATTAAAGAAAAAGCTAGCTTTGGTTGGTCGTATTTTCGCCTGTTTTACGCCTAGACAGCTTCCTTACAGTATGATTCATTTGAAAAGGAGAATTTGAATACCAATTTAAAATAACGTCGAAAACCAATTTCCGAGATATTCAAAATTTTCTGTTTCGTGGCTGAGGCCGGTTTAAAGTTATTCAAAAGAATTTAAAGATTTAAATTTTGTTCAAAGAATAAAAAGTTTGTTTTGCGGCTTCAGATTAATTAAGAACTTCGTTAGGCACGAGCCGTCAGGGTCGGTTTTCTTTACTTTGTGTAGTTATATTTTGAGATAAGCTGATCCATTAACTACTCGTATGGTTCATATTAAGATTTCTTTGTTTTAGTAATATTATATAAAACTTAAAATATTAACTTTTTTTAAAGAATAATAATAAAAATGTCGTTATAAAATTATGATCAATATGTAGCAGTAACTACATAGGCTTCACTTAAGAAGACCTGGAGATTTCTTTTTTATATTAATATGTTAGGTCTTTACCTACGAATTGCCGTTTAGTATAGCGAAAGTTACAGTCTTCTATCTTTATTATCTATCTTTATTATTCTTTACCTTTATTCTATCTTTATCTTTATTCTATCTTTATTATTAGTATCTTTTATTAGTATCAATCAAAATATGCACCCATGGTATTGATGCATTTTTCCCAGCGCAGTGGTAATCTTTTAATGCTCTTCTTGAAGATGTAAAGTGTACGGGAGTCAATAAACTCTTCAAAGGCATCTTGTACTGCCTTTCGGGTATTGAATTTATTTCTTGCTAAGAAGTTGTCCATACTAAAAACTAGTCTAAAAAGTCTATCGGCGCGAGATATGATGAGTTTGACGGATAACACAAAACTTTTAAGTCTAGCTCTTGTGGCGACGGTCTACGACGGTCAGAGATGGTCTGTTGTACCCTGTGAGGTCGAGTGGTGACGCATAGGACTGGGAATGAGCGATTAACCAAGGCTGGCCGGAGATTCTTAAGCTTTTCCATCACTGTATCCAGCTCCTCATAATGCACATTCGTAATAATGCTAATGGTATTTGGTAAGAAGCTGTGATGAATTAAGCCATATACCACCACCATCACACAGTGACCACGACTTTTTAGGGGTAAGTTATCATTTGAGGCGTTGCCTAGGTACTGAACCAGAGTCTAACCAACATGACGAGCGCTTCCGTAGTCAAAAAGGATCCAATTTACAACGCAAGTAACAACGCGGTACAAAATTCCATCACTTCCGCGTCTGTTAAGGAACGCGAGGCGTACTTTAACGCTATCGTCGTGCTGGCGATCATTCAATATGCGCGGTGCCCACTTATCAAGCTTTTTTATCTTGCCAATTTGACGTAAATGAACCAATATTGCTTTCATACTATCGATAGAAGCTGCTGCTAACTCACCAG